AATAATAAAAATAATTTATAGCTTTATGGGTGTATTTATTTTGATATTTTAAGTATATTTCTGATACTTCTGTACTTTTACATACTATATGTAGGATTTAGAATGCAGAGGTTTTGTTTACAGTGAAGTATTCTTAAATTGTTACACTGGTATTTTTACTAAAGTATGGGATCTTCCACCAGTGGTCAGTTAGTATGCTTGTCCAGTAGTTTGGCCAAACTGATTTCTTGCAAGATACTGCATCTTTGCAATGAATGGCCAGATTAAACCTTCCATTTGCTGTGAGTTTTAAAATGATGGTTTCAATGTAATGATTTAGGCATTTCCTGACCTTTCATCTAGCAGCATTTTTCTCCATGACAAAGTAGCTCAGTAGTTCTTAGCCCAGTTTCCAATTATGGTCCCCAAATAATGATTGGTTGATTGGTCAAGCTCCAAAATTAACAAATTTATCAGGATGGCGTTTGTCTGGGTTTATTGTAGCAGCTCTGAAATTCTGACAATTTGCTATCTTTCCTATCCTCAGTGCACTACCAGAAGATTGTCCACCGGGACATCAAGCCTTCGAACTTGTTACTGGGTGATGATGGACATGTAAAGATAGCAGACTTTGGGGTCAGCAACCAGTTTGAGGGCAATGATGCTATGCTGTCCAGCACAGCAGGCACTCCTGCCTTTATGGCACCAGAGACCTTGTCAGATAAGCGCAAGTCCTTCAGCGGCAAAGTAAGTTCATACATAATGTACATTCTTACATAAATGTCAAGTGCTTTGTCTTTGCTAGTCCTTGTATTCTGTGAGTGTGCCAGAGTTTGAACTGATGTGGTTACAGCAGCAGCTGCTGGTGCCAGCCTGGGCCTTAAACTCATGATTTGAAAATGAAAACCATTAAACCAAGGTGGGTTTTCAGACCTTTGCTGGCCTGCCAGTCCAAGGCGCAAGCTCTCACTCTTGTGTGTTAGCTGTTAACTAAGGTGCTCTTGAAAACAAAAGCAATACCAGAATAAACAAGTGGAACAGTTTGCTGTATTGATCTGGGAATATTTCACATCATTATACAGTACTGTTTCTAATTTTACAGGATAACCTGTCAGTCCTCTGTAATGGTGGCAGACTGATGAAGTTGCTCAAGGAATGACCTTGCATGTCCATAAATGAGGGGCCAGAATAGGATATTTGATTGCTATCAGGATACAAGAGCCATTCAAGTGCCTCAGCTTGCTGTTTCCTCAGACTTTCAAAAATACAGTATGTGCAGTCTTAATGCCCCTTATTCACGGACTAGTCTTGCATTCTTCATGATTTTGATTAGTTCTGTTAGGTTATTTTTTAGTTAGATAGATATTCAGAGATTTGTTGTCTATGAATGTTTAGTGTAGCCAGGATGTCTCCTCAGGATGTTAAATGCAAGGTTAGTTAAAAAGCAGAGAAGGGCTCAAGTCAGGGACAAATGTTATTATGACGGTAAAAGTAACCATAATATTTGTCTTAATGTGTAATGTTATGTCAAATTGTTTTAGATACACACCACGAAAACAACAGCCACACACATTATTTTCTTCATGTTTGGTCTACTGCTCTGCTCAGCTGCCAAGCTGGCATATCAGGTGACGTCACGGTTCGACAGCCCAGAAAGAATTAATATTGTATAGCAATGCTTAGTTCGGGGTCTTGCTGCTTCCGGGCTGCTCGGGCAGCCTGGGGGTTGGAAGATCTCTGGACTTGAAGTGTGAATTCTTGCCTGTGACTTTTTGAATAAACCAGCACGGATATATTTTTTATATACTCAAGTGGTCTGAGTCGTCCCTCTGAGTTCCTGGTTTGAAAGAACCGGATGAGGCTTTATAATGGAATAGAGCCTATAGTTCAAACAATGTTCTAGAGAGCTGGTGTCCATTATGCACCAACATTTGATTTTGGTGTAAATCAATGATGAAATATTTAGTATATGACACTTGTATGCCACTTAAACCCTGAGTTGAGTGCCAGTAATACGTCAGACCATTAGAACATGTTAGTCATACAGCAAATGGATTCTGCTTCTGACCACATACATCCTGCTGTGTCTGACAGTAGACATCCTTGAAAAATAATATATAATAAAACAATTCAGTAATAAAATAAAATACTAATGTGCCATAATCCCAATAGACAGTCTGCATTGATTTAGTTCACTGTGTTTGGATTGCTTTGTATGGTTTTTCAGTCTGTTTGGTATTATGTGACATTGAATGTCTTCACTGCTGCTTTCTTACAGGCACTGGATGTGTGGGCCATGGGAGTTACCCTCTACTGTTTTGTTTTTGGGAAGGCAAGTCTGCACATGTTCTGTCTCTCAGGCAATTATCAAAGGTAACTGTAAAGGCTGGGATAAGGCAGACTCCAGCGCCTGTTAACAGCACCCAGTGGCTCTATAGAAACACTTTTACCAGTATTTTTGTTTGATGCAGCAGTTGTTTAGTGCAGTGGTGGGCTGTCAGGGCCAGCAAGGCCTTCTCTGCTGGCCTAAACACTATCAGAAGCACTGACCTACATTTACAACCTAAATTCTAATATTTGTTCCATGAAATTGTACAATTAATTTATTCCCAACAGTCTATTCTCTTCATTTCGTAGCATTTCTCTTGGCTGCACTGCTTCCAGTAGGTGTATGTGGATGTTAGATTTTTTGCCCAATCAGATTTCAGCCTCTATGTATTGCCATGTCAATCTAATCTGCCCAGGGCCTTCAGAATCAGAAGTGCTGGCCGATGTAACATACTATACTGTTTCTTTAACCAATCAGATTTCAAATTCGCCTAACAGGGCCAGCTAGCTGGCCTACAATGATGTCAGCATTTTCCCGTCTTCTGATTGGTTGGTCAGAGCAAAACTGTTACAGTGAAGTTCGACTAGCAAAACACATCTGTAGAGATCTGCACATTAATACATTTGAGTTAGAGTTTTTTACGCTCATAATGGCTGACGGAGGAGGGGGAATTGACTTGGTCTTGGACATACTTAAAAGTCCATTTTCAAGGAGGACTTTTCCAGAAAAGCTAGACATTGTGACGAGAGGTCGGCCAACCCCGAAGCTAGCTAGAGTGACAGGTGAGCGGGGTATAAATAGGGATAGAACGAATGAAGTGCAGCTGGTGATAATCAGGGGATGTGGAGCAGGTGTGCTAGGTGGTGT